TCGAGAAAGCAGTTGAGAAACATGCTCTATAAGTTTTCTTAAGCATTATCTTGCATAAAAATGAGCTTGGTGGGGTCGATTTGCATCCTTTCAGTAGAAGGGAGCAGACAAGACTCTAAAATTTTCTTGTACTGCTCGTTCCTGAGGGTCTTTTCAATAGGTTTTAAGAAACTAGTTCCATGAAAATGAAAAAACAAATGCATCCCCGAACATTATACTGAACGGATGCTTGACAGTACTAACTGCTAAATTCAAAGGGCTTTCAAAGCTTCTTCTTCGGATTTTAGATCGCTTATCCTTTGAATTTAGCTCAACTTTCGTTTCCTCGAAGAGAACATTTAGTAAAAAAATCAGGTGAGTCACTTTTATCAAACAGCACTATATATATATATATATATATATATATATATATATATATATATATATATATTTTAGCTGAAGGCATATGATTGTATTCAAAATATTTAGATGTCGGCATAATTAACCCTTGTTGATAGGCGGCTAAACAAAATCAACGAACGGTTCTCTGGTATGTAACGGAAGACATCAAGGCCGTACAAAGAAACGATACAAAGACGAAATCAAAACTAAGCTCCATTGGTGCAAGATCAGTCCCAAAAGGTCGAGAGGAGTGTCTTGGTAAGCCATTGACCACCAAACCTTTGCAAACCTTGAAGAAGCCCAGAGTCAAAAAGTCAATATTCAAAGAGAACAACGCCAACGTACAATTTAGGCATTAGTTACAACTACCACACTTCCAGTATTACCAGTGTTCCAGACACTTCGCGTCCATGAGTGATTTGAGGAACATCCCCCCCTCATCGACTGATGAATTGCAAGATTAAAACTTTTCGGATTCAAAGGACAACAATGACATTAATGAATAAATCATTTATCAGTATATGACATCGACAGACTATCTACCTATCTCTCTCTCTCTATCTCCCTCTTTACCTATCTATCTATCTATCCCAGCTCTCTCTCCCCCTATATATATATATATATATATATATATATATATATATATATATATATATATATCTGTTAACATTTCCTTCAACTCCACCCCTCGCAAAGAACCCCCCATCACTAGAACCTCGTTCTACTATCAACGAGCGGATTGGGACTCGTTCCGTGACTTCCTCCGCGATGTCCCCTAGGATGTTGTCTTTACACTCCCCGTCCAAGAATGTGCTTCTGTGGTCTCATCCTGGGTTAAAGCTGGAATCGACGTTTTCATCCCCTCAAGGAAATTTAAGGTCAAGTCGCACTTCTCCCCCTGGTTCTCCGCTGCTTGCTCAGCCGCCATCGCCATAGGAACCACTTTTTTCACCTATTCCGTAGCGACATGTCGGACTGCAATATACGTCTCTTTGCCTCCGCAAGTGTAAGCGTGTCCTCAACGAAGCTAAGTCACTATTTGCTGCTTGGATGAAGGAGCGTATTGCATCTCGCAAATTTGGTTCCCAAGATTATTGGCGTCTCTGCAAGAGTGTATTGAACAATTGCAAACCCTCCATACCTCCTTTATTCAACCAGTTCGAAGTCCTGACCTCCTCTACCGACAAGGCTGAATGCTTTGCTCAGAAATTCTCATTTAATTCAACGCTCGACTCCTCCGGTGTACCCATACCCGACTTCCCTCTAAGAACTGAGGCCCTATTGAGTGGGTTACACATAACCCCGTCATTGGTATTGGGCATTATCTCCAATTTAGACCCCCACAGGCTAGTAGTGGAGATGGCATACCAGCCATTGTCTTGAAGAAATGCGCACCTGAACTAGCGCCCGCCCTCTCTAAACTATATAACTACTGCCTCTTCTCTGCCTTCAGAATAACGGTGAGGCTCGTGCCGTGGCCCTAGACATCTCCAAAGCGTTTGATAGTGTTTAGCATGCCTGCCTTCTTCGCATGCTCCAGGGTTATGGTATTACAGGTCGATTGTTTGACCTAATACAATCATTCCTGTCAAACCGTGAATTGAAGGTCGTTCTCAACGGATTCTCCTCCAGTTCCTATCCCACGAACGCAGGTGTTCCCCAAGGCTCCATCCTAGGCCCCACTCTATTCCTTATTTTCATCAACGACCTTCCTGACGCCATAGAGTCCCAAGTTGGCATCTACGCGGACGACACTACAATTTACTCCTGCCTCAAAAACAAATGTAGTGTCTGTGACAAAACTAACCTGGCCGCTCGTCTTGAAATGGACCTCCAATCGGTTGTTAATTGGGGCAAGAATCATGGTAATTGCTTCGATGAGCTGCTTTCACTGGTTCCCAGACTTCATGAATTCAAGCGCCCTACGAGGCTGGCATCCTGCTCTCACCCTTTCACTGTAGAAACTACTAAATGTAGCCGTCTCTTCTACTCCAATAGCTTCATATCTCACACCTCTCGCCTTTGGAACACCCTTCCCTATTACTGTTTCCCTGAGAGCTATAATCTCCAACTATTCAAATCGACATCTCCAGTTACCTTGATCTGTCCACTATCCTTCTCCTCATCCTTTCTTCTATCGCTCCTATCTGCTCTCGCTCCAAATCTTCTGCAACCCCCTGCATCCTAGTGGCTTCCCATCTTGCTCGGGGGCGTAATGCTTAATATATATATATATATATATATATATATATATATATATATATATATATATATTCCTATTCAGAGCACTTTCATTTACAGTGTTTTTTTTTTAGCTTTTCATGGACGATCATAACCGGAAAATTCTAACATACCTTCAGGCCAACTGTTTATTGTTCACGGGGTAAACATCATACAAGAATTCAAAATACCGCACACGCTAAAAAAATATTCCAATTCCACAGATCTCCTGATTTTTAAAATACACACACACACACACACACAAAAATATATATATATATATATATATATATATATATATATATATACGTCTTACCAGTTTATGGAGGATCCAGGGAGAGGTCAATGTAGACTACAGAGCATTAGAATGATAAGAAGATGATTATAATTTATTTCGTGAACACCGAGATGTTCAACTCTTCAGAGCGAAATCTCGTCCTTATATATATATATATATATATATATATATATATATATATATATATATATATAATAATAATATCAGTGGTCAATATATATATATATATATATATATATATAAATATAGAAATTTCAAGAGGATAGAATTCAGATAGAGCAAGAATATTATGTAATCTCGATCCAATTCATGAGACCTACAAATTCAAAAAGAAATCGTAAAAAATGTTTTGAATTCATCGGTTTCATGAATTGGATCGTGATTAGGATTCCAATCGAATACATTTTGTGTTCCAGCCTTTTACATTATATTCTTGCTCTGTCCTGAACATTGAGCTCTATCTGGATTCTATCCTCTTGGAAATTTATATATATATATATATATATATATATATATATATTGACCACTAATATTATCTCTCTCTCTCTCTCTATATATATATATATATATATATATATATATATATATATAAGTATATGCGTATGCGTGATAATGGCAGAAACAGAGAGGGCGAGATAACTCGAGAGCGGGAAATTTCGAGCGTCGACGGCAAATCCAGTAGCCATTCCTCCGTCGATTCTGAGGTACGACTGGTATTTCGTTGTGATTAGTAAATACCAATACATCTGAACATGTGACCATTCTAATTAGTCAAACTTTGTTTTCGGATGAGTTAGCAGCTATGTAATAGATACGAAGGTCACGTTTTTCTTAAATCCTTCACAATATTGAGATTAAATTGTAACAGACTAACGACGCTACTGTGAGTTTTATTACTTGATCAATTTTTATATTATATTCACAATAACCATTCAAATTGTTTACAAGAGTCAGAAAATGGAGTACTAATGCCATATATGACCAGACGCTACCCAGTCTTCACTTTCCACTAGTGAGTGAAGTAATATTTTCCACCCTCCAACATTTTACCCACAAAACGTGTCAAGCCTCTCGTTTCTCTATTGGTATTTCCATGAAAAGTTTAACCTTCACAGATAACACCAGACATGCCACGCCCATTGCAGCCAGCCACTCTCATACCCTTTGTATTCCTTTGGTGTGATATCAGTCCCAGCTTCTCCAAAGAAGATGATTCCCCGATCACTACAATCTTAACCTGTTCAAGTCGAGAGTCAGCCGTTATCTTCTTCACATATCTCCGTAAACTGTGTCTCTTTCCCAGAAACACTCAAAATCGAGATTTCTGAATTTAAACATTCTGTGTCTAAAATTAACGGTTATTTGAAAATAACTTTGTACAGCATACTACGATGTCGCCCGAATATTACTTTTTAATGATTTCACCCCAAGAAAGGCGTTATAGAGGATTACTGACTGTTATAGAATAACATTATTCAGGAGAGAAAACAATAAAAGAACGGGAATGAAGTAAACAAAAGATAGCAATTGACATTGCATTTAAATTTTTAAAGAAAAAACGATTGGAAAACAAAAGGTAGGAAGAGAGTTCCACAAACGAGAGTTCCACAAATAGAAGAAATTCTTAGCGTAGGACTTACGGTTATATCTGTAAAATGATGAGACCTAGCTGCCAATCTAGTACTGCGTTTATATTCGCAAAATCGATGTTCCAAAGGAGACAGTGAATCAGAACAATTTATATTAAAGTATTTATTTCATTCCCCATCTTTTGAACGGGAATAAAGGCTTATCAACTCAATATCTGTCTATATCTCTGAGATGAGGTATTATGATTACTTGTATTATTTACATTATTCGGACTGTTATCTTCATCTTCATTGCCATATTCAGAACGTTTCAGCCGTTGTATACTCCGGCCTTTAATATCTGTCTACTTCTCTAAGATGAAGTATTAAGATTACTTGCATTATTCATATTTTTTGGACTATTATCTTCATCTTTATTGCCATGTTCACAACGTTTCAGCCGTTGTACGCTCCGGCCTTCAATATCTGTCTATATCTCTGATATGAGTTAATTTGATTACTTGCATTAGTTACATTATTTTGACTGTTATCCCTATTTCCATTGCCATATTCAAAATGTTTCGGCCGTTGTATGCTCCGGCCTTTGTCAGGTGATTGGTGCAATGGATAAAGACGTTGGTTAGATCCAGTGACTGGACCCAAAGTATTGTGAGTTCAATACCTGGCTACAGTGGTGAACCAAAACATGGTGAGTTGACTTAAAGGGAAATAACTAAGACATCTGGAAGGGGCTTGGCACGTGGAACTGGAACAATGTACCGTGGTGTACGAAATAAACGGTTCGGTTTGAAATTCCAATCACCTGAAGAAGGACGGAGCGTATAATAGCCGAAACATTGTGAATATGGCAATGAAGATCGGTATACAAGTCCAGATAATGCAAATAATTTAGATTTAGCCCTAGTTTCCTGTTTAAGATTGGGTTTCCGGTTCATTCCCCTAAAGTTTTCTCATTTTATTTCACCCCAAGCCCCGTAGCTATTTGTGTTTTAGTGGCATTATAGCCTTGATTGTGGCGCAATTATTAAAAAAAAAATAGGTACAAATAAGCGACCTTATTTTTATTTTTTTAATTCAGAATATTATATAACTGTGAATGCTGGCTCAGATTGAGGAATCGGAGAGCCGAGTTCAAATTCCAGTCGAATCCATTATATTCACTTACGGGCTTAAGAAAAGTATAAATCCTCTTCTTCTCCTCCCCCTCCCTCAGCTATGGGTAAATAACAGGACAGACTGGGTTCTATAGCCCTGGATGTCAATTGGTCTCCCGCAGAAAGAAATGGTAACCTAGTGCGAGGAAAAATCCGCCTCGTCAGTCATTTATCGAAAGATACATGATCGCCTAAGCGTTTATCACGCATGGCACATAACTGAGTGCCTGAATGCTGGACAATTTCCTCACATATGAATGAGAGGACTGGAAGTAACGGAGACGTGATTCTAAATGAGGTTGCTGAGAATACCGTGGACGGAACAAATGAGCAACGAGGAAGCCTGAAGGATAATGGAAGCTAAAGGGTCTTAGATTCCTACGGATATAAAGTGAATTCAGTAAATATACAAAAATAAAAAGTGGTGTAAGACAAGGATGCATCTTCTCACCAGACCTCTTCAACATATGCGGAAGGGCAATTCTGAAAGATGTCCTACTGGGATTTATTATAGGCGACCAGTCTTAACAAGGTAAGATATGCAGATGACAGTGTTGATAACAAACACAAAAAAAAGAAACTACAAGAATTCATACAGAAGGTAGTGAAGGAAAAGCAGAAGAACGGACTAAACAACGATATATACATATATATATATATATATATATATATATATATATATATATATATGTATGTATGTATGTATGTATATGAAGAAATATAGTCTTAAGGTGTGCTATATTTATGAGATAAAGTGCTCAATATCAGAGATAGAGTGTGTGTAAATATAAAAGTGAACATTGAAGTCAACACTTAGAGGCGACAGGCTGTTTCATGCTAGATGCAATCGTCAGGCCACGAGTTTCGTGAACGTGCTTCTAAATGAGGGTGCTCCTGGCCTCACGATTGCGTCTAGCATGAAACAAACTGTCGCCTCTAAGTGTTGACTTCAATGTTCACTTTTATATTTTATACACACACACACACACACACACACACACACACACATATATATATTGAGAGAGAGAGAGAGAGAGAGAGGGAGATAGATAGATAGGGACAGGCTTAGATAGATAGATAGATAGATAGATAGATAGATAGATAGATAGATAGATCTTTGTTTAGGTTCGTTGATTTTATCTTTACCTCAAAGGCAAATATTATTTCCCCACCTTCTTTTTTTGACACTTCGAAATTCTTTCTTGCATGAAACTGAACACAACACTCCTTCGTTTCTATCGAAGCCATAATTTAAGTCAAGTAATCCTAGATTAACTTGACTGTTTTTTTTCGACAACTCCCAAACCCCCAACACGACCAGTAGTGAAAAATAACTCACACACATGTCTCGTGCCTTTAGCGATAAAAACCAAATGACGGATTTGGATTACATAACAATCGATGTCGATCACAAAGCACGGAGGCTATTCTTTTCCCTTGATAAAAGGTTATTTGAAAACGGAAAAAGAAAAAGGAGGTAAATTTAATAGAAAAATAAAAAAAACGCTTTAAAAAATGATTTGAAAGAAGATATCATCAACGAAACTAAAAGAAATCTTGTTATTTTAGAATAAATATTATTAACTAGCAGCATGGCCCGGCGTTACCCGTGCTTGATCAAAAATCGTACGACTCATACAGCAATCGCTATCATTGACTTAAAATATTTTTGCCCTTCCTTGCCTTTAAAGGAGTGCCCATTGTCGTGCTGATGTTGCTACATGCCTTACTTCTTGCCTATCTCACACTGCGATTTTTTTCTAAACTCTATACTAAACATTAAATCTGTTACGAAAAAAGTACTAAACAAAATGAACACAAAACGATCAGCTTAAAAAAAAGGACTCGTAACTGGAAAAACCGAATGAAAAAAGAATGTTAACAACAAATACTTTTTCACACCCAACCCAGTTCTGCGGAATCAGAATCAACGTTGAGTTTAAGCAAGCGAATGAGCCAATTGGAGCAAAGTGCCATGCAGATTTAAATTTTCCCACTTGTGACGAATGCAGCTAGCGATTTTTTTTTTTTTTTGCATGCTAGCATGCTAGTTAACATTCGTGTCAGTCAGCTTTTGGCTCTCACGCTGACCAATAGAATCTTCCTGTCTATTCGTGGCAGCCAGCTATAGGCTCTCACTCTGGCCAGTAGAAAATGGCCGCAAACTACATGAAAACTGTCGTAGAAGCATGAAAAATCGATTATTTCCACTATCGATGGGAGTTGGGAAAATGCAAAGTCGGTCTTGGCCTTCTCGCTAACTTGGAGCATGTGCATGCAAACTTTGGTGCAAATCCGTCGAAAATTGCGGCCGTGCATTCGTTACACACACACACACACACCCTGCCTTTTATAGATAGAGATAACCGTGTGCAGTTGGGACAGTGATTAAAGGTTCGGATCTTGAATTCCCTTTCGAACCGTGTTCGAATTCTGGTTGAGATTGTTGTATCTACTTTTGCAGAAATACCCATTGAGAGGGATGAATCCATCTATTCCCATCTATGTTTTGAAACAAATAGCAGAGCGGACTGAACTCGTGGTCGGTAAAACGTATAGCAGTACAACTCTGAATTCAAAACCTTATGTTTCTCAATTGAGACACATAATAGAACTGTAATTAATGTCCGCTCACTACATTTGCAGTATAGGGATTTTATAAGAGTGGCACAAGGACATAAGCATGAAACACCCAGTGAGGACATAACTTGTAAGTTATCTAGAGAGCTTGTTAAACATTACACCACGTCGAAATACTCGATGGTGATGTTAATGCGTAGCTTGGATGTGATACACGGCCGAAGGCGTGGAGAACCAGTTAGGATTGAACTCACAACCCAGTCGTAATTGATCTCGCGGGACAAACTTGTTAACCATAAAACCACAGTGAAGTGCTCAAATGGTGTATCTTAGGTGTGACACAAGGTCGAAAGTATTGGGCACCCAGAAGGCTTCGATCTACCTGTTCAGTCGTAATTGATCTAATGAGACAAACACCACGTCGAATAGTTTTCTAGACATAGCTTAGATGTAGCACGTCCAAAAGTGTGGAGCATCCAGTGAGGTTCGAATTTACTACTCAGTCTTAATTGTTCTAGCGAGACAAGCTTGTTAACCATTACACCACGTCGAAGTGCCCTCCATAGTTGCACTAGAAACAAGTTGGCTCTGTTGCTATTAAAGAAACATTAATGGCCTGAGCAGATGTTGTTTTCCTCTGTTCCTCTTGCCTTGTTAGTATCACATTTTCCAAACCCCCTTTCCTCATTATGTGCCCTAGATAATTTCGTCTCTTCCTGATGTTAAATATGTATACTTTTGGTTTCCATTATCTCTAAGACTTCGTCATCGCTCACATATTCGTTCCAGGGCTTTCTCAGCGTCCTTCTATAAAACTATATTTCTATTGCTTTAAGTTCCCTTTTCATCGGCGAGGAGCCATATAGAATGACTAATAATAGATAACAGTTCAGTATTCTTAGCTTCTTATTATTTTATAATACTTTGCTTAGCTTTCGGAAGGCATCTTACCCTATCCCAATCAGATTTCGGATTTCTGTATAGCACTTTTTGTTTTCTGTTAAGACACGTCCCAGATATTTAAATTGATGCATATATGGAGCTTGCATTGATGAGTTTGGTTTGCATCCTCTCTTCTGTCGTCGTAGTGTCGGCATATTTCCAAGGCATGCAGCAATAAGCGACATCATCGGAAGAGGTCTGGATGCAGCTGGGTTCTCCTACCAAATCGAACCCATCACCCTCAACCGTGGTGATGGAAAACGGCCAGATGGGATTAGCATTTTCCCTTTTAAAGTAGGGAAGTCGTTGATTTGGGATGCGACCTGTGCCCATACATTTTCGGCCGGTAATTTCATCAGGTCCGCACTTGAGCCGGGACGCGGAGATAAAAAAAAATTAAATAATTAAATATTCTTCTTATGCAGACGTATTTATTTTTAATCCAGAGGCAATAGAGAAGCATTTTGTTTTATTATTTTTTTATGAATACTTTGTTCAAATATAAAATTTGTTTATATTTTAAATTGTTGCACCTGCTTCATTTCTGTATCTTAAATTTATAATTTGCATGCTGGGATATTCCTTTTGCGAACAACCATGCATTCAATCTTCTTGTAATTGATGTGGACAGTCAACAATGAATCCTGGTAGGACTTCTAATTCCCTCAGTAAAAATGTAGTGTTATAAATAATGGCTCGGAATTGTTAATTGTATAGCCGGGTTTCCACTCCCGATAGATTTGCTATATTCACTAAAGCGGAAATAACATTGCGAATATGAACCCACATATTCACTCTGCATCTATGGATTACTATTTACATTATTCGGACTATTGTCCTCATCTTTGTCGCCATATTCATTACAACGTTTCGACCGTTGTACGCTCTGGCCTTCTTCAGGTTGGAATGTCGAACTGAACCCTTTATTTCGCTCAATGGGGTAGACTGTTCTAGTTTCCCGTGCCATGTCTAATGGATGTCAGTTATCTGCTGTTAATTCCCCTCTGCAAGTGGATAAAGACGTTAGTTAGATCCAGTGACTGGAGCCAAAGAGTGTGAGTTCAACACTAGGTTAAGGCAGTGGATAACTTGCAGAAGGGAATTAACACGAGATAACTGATAACTAACATTTATTAAACATGGCACGTGGAACTAGAACTGTCTACCCTAGTGAGCGAAATAAAGAGTTCAGTTCGACATTCCAACCAACTGAAGAAGGCCGGAGCGTACAACAGCCGAAACGTTGTAATATATATGTCAACAAAAATGAGGAAATAATCCGAATAATGTAAATAGTTTACATAATACCTAATCTCAGAAATATAGACAGATACTGAAAGGCCGAAACATTGTAATAAATATGGCAACAAAGATGAAGGCAATAGTCCGAATAATGTAAATAATGTACATAATATCTCATCTCAGAAATATAAAGATACTGAAAGGCCGAAACGTTGTAATAAATATGGCAACAACGATGAGGATAATAGTGCGAATAATGTAAATAATGTACATAATACCTCATGTCAGAAATATAGACAGATACTGAAAGGCCGAAACGTTGTAATAAATATGGCAACAAAGATGAAGGCAATAGTCCGAATAATGTAAATAATGTACATAATACCTCATGTCAGAAATATAGACAGATACTGAAAGTCCGAAACGTTGTAATAAATATGGCAACAAAGATGAAGGCAATAGTCCGAATAATGTAAATAATGCACATAATACCTCATCTCAGAAATATAAAGATACTGAAAGTCCGAAACGTTGTAATAAATATGGCAACAAAGATGAGGATAATAGTCCGAATAATGTAAATAATGTACATAATACCTCATCTCTGAAATATAGACAGATACTGAAAGGCCGAAACGTTGTAATAAATATGGCAACAAAGATGAAGGCAATAGTCCGAATAATGTAAATAATGCACATAATACCTCATCTCAGAAATATAAAGATACTGAAAGGCCGAAACGTTGTAATAAATATGGCAACAACGATGAGGATAATAGTCCGAATAATGTAAATAATGTACATAATACCTCATGTCAGAAATATAGACAGATACTGAAAGGACTAAACGTTGTAATAAATATGGCAACAAAGATGAGGACAATAGTTCGAATAATGTAAATAGTGTACATAATACCTCATCACAGAAATATAGACGTCTATGGATTAGTTAGTAAGGTTTGTATCACTAAAGTATTATAATCTCCAAAAAGCCGGGTTACAATTCGCGATTTGCTACTTTCACTTTAGCGAAAATAACCTCTTCATCTTCTCTCTCGTGTATGGTTTAATTAGTAAGACTTGTATCACTAAGTGGTGTAATGAATTGCAGCTTGGATTGAGGAATCGGAGAGCCGAGTTCGAATTCCAGTCGAATCCACTACATTCACTTTCTAATACACTTCGGGAAGGTATAAATCCGCTTCTTCTCTCCAGCTATGGGTAAATAGCAGCACAGACTGGGTTTTATAGCCTTGGATGACAACTGGTCTACCGCAAAAAGAAATGGTAATCTACTGCGGGAAAAAATCTGCCTCGTCAGTCATGTATCGAAAGATACATGATCACCTAAGCGTGTATCTTTCGTACCTTAAGTGTGTACCATCCATGGTATATAATTGAATGTATCACTTAATCATTATAAACTCAAAAAATGTGTTTTAATGGATAATGACTCGGTATAGTTACTCGTAAAGTATTCGTTATATTCACTTAAGCGGAAATAACCTTGGGGAGAGTATGGACCAACATGTTCTCTCTCCCAGCTATAGGTTAATTATTAAGAGTTTCATCACTATACCATTATAATCTCAAAAACATGTATAAGTGTCTTGGATATGGCTCGGAATTCGTAATCGTAGAGCAGAGTTCAAATTCTTCGTTATATTCACTTATGCCAAAATAACCTTACAATGGTATTTTCTCTCCCAGGCTATGGGTTAATTAGTAAGAATTATATCACTAAATCTTTATAATCTCAAAGAAAATATGGTGTAATGGGTAATGCCTCGGAAGTGGTAAACGAAGAGCCGAAATACCATTCAAGAAGCATTCATTATTTTCACTTAAGCGAAAATAACCTTGGGAATGGTATGGATTCACATATTCACTTAATTAGTAAGTCTTATATCACTAAACACTAATAGTCTAAAAAATGTAGTGTAATGAATAGTGGCTCGGAATTGATAATCGTAGAGTCAGATTATAATTCTAGATGGACTCGCTATATTTCTTCAAGCGAAAACAAACTAGAGAATAGCATTAACCCATATATTCTCTCCCCCACTATGGATTGATTAGTAAGACATGTATCGCTAAACTATTATAATCTAAAAAGAAGATATGAGTTTTTGTCATTTTTATATCTTGTTGTTAAGATTTGTGCAGTCAACAATGAATCCTGGTAGGATTTCTAATTCTTTCGCCTCAATATAGGTTAAATAAACCCTGTGACTAACACCCACTACTATTTTTGTATATGTACTGAACTTATTCTCAATCCGTATGCAGGCGATTTGCTGACATTAAAGTTTCCGGATTATTCTAATATCCTTCTCAAATAGTACTAAGCTTAAATTTATGCGGTCGGGTTATCAAGAAGGAAAGCTCATTAGGACAACTGCCATGAAAATATTTATAGAAATGACAGAGGGAAGTTCGATTATTTTGAGAAAAGTAATTAAATTTATTAACACATTCACAGCTACCTTTTTATATGAACGCTTACATAAGGCCATCCATGTTTTTGTTGGACTAGCCATTAGAAATTGCTATGTAAGACTACTTAGACTTTATTTTGATGAATAAAATTAAATTTATTAACACAGTCACTGCTAACTTGGTTATTTGAACGCTTACATAAGGCCATCCATGTTTTTGCTGTAATTGCCATTAGAAATTGCTATGTAAGATTTCTTAGCCTTTATATTGATGTATAAAATTAAATTTATTAACACAATCACTGCTAACTTGGTTATTTGAATCCTTATATAAGTCAATATGTGTTTTTTTGTGAGTTACCATTTGAAATTGCTGTTGCGATTAATATAGGATATTTTGGCGCCTTTTCTGACGTTAAAAATATTGTTTTAGAATTTCTTGCAAAAATCAAATGAATGGTTTTAAATGAAATTTTCAGAATTTATTCAGAAATGTATAAAATTATTATTGAATTTTGTTTTTTAGAAAGTCTGTAATTTTTTTTACATCTGCTACTCTCACTTGATTTTATGAAATTTCGAGAAATTAAAAATCCAGCCTCTTATTATTTATGTTAGTTAAAATCACGACTCCTTGGAGATTTTAAATCATAAATTTGTTTTTGTCGAACGGAAACATCATTTCGCGAAAATCTGCTCCGAATCTTAAATTAAAAAATACAATAAAACTATGACATTATTTCATTGCTTTTAATTGCTTCTATGAACAAGATATATTAAGGATACTATTGTCTTAAGAAAAAACATTTCGATGAATAATGAATTTTTACAAGAATTGCATTCAATTTTTTTTTTTAATTTGTAGAGGACCAAGGGGTGAAGATGAAAAGAAAACACGCGCGTTTATTTTTCCTGCTAGAAGAAGGTTTAGCTACGGGAAAATGGCGGACTTGAATTAAGTCCAACTGAAGATAAAGAAGACAAACAAAACCGATACATACATACATATATATATATATATATATATATATATATATATATATATATATATATATAACAAATATATGTATTAAACAAAACAATTTTACAATGGACATAGACAATAATATTTGTGTGTGTGTGAATATTTGTGTTTGTTCTTTGGTGAATGTTCGTATGTACGTGAATGTGTGTATAATGTTCATGCCGTCTTCCCACAAGTAGGAAACGCTATCTCCTAAGAGAGCTTGCATTGTAGTTGCTGAAATGAAGAAATGAAAACCTTAGTTATCCCTTTTTTTGTGAAGGTCCTTAATCTTATGTTATAAGATATTAATAATGACCTGATGGATTCCTTGATAAACACCATGAGGATTTTTTTTTTTTTTTGTGAATGTACCTAAATAATATAGATCTTTTCAGAATCAAAGTAATCATTAATGAGATGCTATTGTTATTCTATTCGCCTCCATTGTTAACCATCAATGCGCTGCTCAAAATAAAAGGGACACCCGTCGTAGAGCGTGGAGAGGCGAGCCGCTTTCGAAGCCCATCAGAAGAGAGTTTAATTCTCAGTAGACGCCCAAATTATTGCAGCCTCACCCCAGACAACGGTAGGTTTAGATAATATCCACTTCCCATCACCATTCTTAGGGCAATTGGCAACAAGCATTATCGCAGGTCCAATTTTCACTAAGTATTTTATAGGTTATAACTTGGACAAAATTTCAATTAAAAACTGGACTTCTTCGTCTTCTTCTTTTTCTTCTTCTTCTTCTTCTTCTTCTTCTTCTTCTTCTTTCTTCTTTCTTCTCCTTCTTCTTTTTCTTCCTTCCTTTCCTTTTTCTTCTCCCTTCTTCTTCCTTCCTCTTCATCTCCTTTTCCTCCTTCTTTCTTTTTATTCTTCCTTTTTTATCTTCTTCTTTTCCTACTTCTTACTTCTTCTTTTTCTCCTTTTCCTTCTTCTTTTTTCTTCTTCCTTTTTCTTTATCTTTTTCTTCTATTTCTTCTACCCCCCCTTTTCTTCTTGTTCCTTTTTCTTCTACTTCTTTTTCTACTTCTCGCTTTCTCTTCTCCTTTCCCTTCTTCCTTTTTCTTTTTTTCTTCTTCTTCTTCTTCTTGGTTTTCTTCCTCTTTTTCTTTCTTCTTCAACCTGCGGCATCCCTTCACGACATTAGTGATCATGTCTCTCAGAAACTTCCTATCCTTTCAGGCCCTTAGCAGTTTCTCACCCTGTCCCGTATCCATTCACACAAGTGTGTCAAGTTAGTGGCTCACTTCCCAACCCCGATATTCTGGCCTTCATATGATCACCAAAGTTAAGCAACGTCAAAACAAAATGGTTGACAACTCGGGAATATCAGGTGGTGCAAGCTTGGATGTGCGGGTGGTGCAATGAAAAATGGCAAAGACTTGTTAATCGGAGAGCCGAGATCCAATTCCGGCCAGGTTCGTTATACTCACTTACGCGCAAATACCCTTGAAAATGTATGAATCCACATCTTCTCCCCCAGCTATGGGTTAATTAGTAGGACTTGTTTCCATAAATCATTTTTATCTTCCAAAATTCTTAAAATCCTTGACTCTTCTGTTTCTTAAATTTCCTTAAAGAATCCAGATGCATTTTCAACTTGTTTTTCACATATATATATATATATATATATATATATATATATATATATATATATAACGTCAAGGAAATCCTTAAAAATTCATCTCGGTTATAATTTATTTCATCAATATATTTAAATATTCATCTCTTCAAACCGAAGGTTTTTAGAAATTAAAAATATAAAATACCGACAATTTTGCTCATCGCAACCCATGCGTGTATGTATATATATATATATATATATATATATATATAGTGCGATGAGTAAATTGTCGACATTTTATATTTTTAATTTCGCGTATGTGCGGTGTTTGTTTTTGATTTTGTCGACTGGACTGTATAGGACAGTCAGTTGGGCACCTTCTGCGAGAAAAATAGCACCATGTCGCAATTCACTTAGCCAGAAATTTAGAAACGGCATGTCGTACTGCTTGGCATTCGCGCCGGAAACTCCAATAAGAACATTTCAGAGTGTTTGGGTGTAAATCTGAGGACAATGCAGAGGATTCGGAAAGAGTTGTATGAGTCTAATAGTAATTATGAAGGTGTTTTGAGTGATTACTAATGATGGCGACTTTAGGCCTCCTCTCATCTTCCTACCTGGCCTCAGAATAATATGGAGGCCTTCAAGAGTTAGTGCTTCCCTGGGTCAAGTTGGTAGCTACTGGAAGAACCTATGTCTGACCCACAGAACTCTGCACCGTGCCGCACATGCGGGAGAACGCAATCATGGCTGTCAGACAATTTTTGCAACCATATCATCCTTACTCCTTAGATTGCAACTCCTAGATTATCATGTATGGGACGCAGTTGAGCGAGAGACCAACAAAACTCCTTGTAACACCAAAGATGAACTGAAGGCAATGGTTATAGTAGCACTCCTCACCATCCTAAACAAGGATACCGTCCAGATGAGTTTTCGAAGTCATCTGGAGACTTTGGTTGAAACCAATGGCGATTGTATTCAATATATTTACTCTTTAGTATTTCAAGATATTTTGGGGTAATTTTGGTAAATATATCTGTTAAAATGGGATCTCAGTGTTATTTTGATTTTTTGCTTAATTTAGACAATTTATCCATCGCAACCTATACACACACAGGCTCAACATGGATGCCTATATCAAGTACCTTGAGTTAGTAGTGCTCCTCTAGCTCAATAGGTGGTTGCTGGAATATCCTACGTCTAGCAACAGGACTTTGCACCATGTCACACAAGCAGGAGAACCCAATCATGGCTGTCAGACAATTTCTGTTAACACATGACCCCTTACATCTGGCTACCTAACTCCCTTGATTATTATGTGTGGGGCATAGTTGATTAAGAAACCAACAAAATACCCTGTAACACCAATGATGAATTGAAGGCAATGATAATGCCAGCATTCACCAACTTAAACAAAGACACCTCCCAGAAGAGTTGCAGGACATTCCGGAGTTGAAGCCAATGGCGATTGTATTCAATATATTTACTCTTTAGTATTTCAAGATATTTTTGTGTAATTTTGGTAAATATATCTGATAAAATGAGATGTTAGTGCTATTTTCATTTATGCGTAATTTAGACGACAATTTATCAATTGCTACCTGTGTAAATATATACCGTTATATATTATCCATTGCGCAACATCTGCAAAATCATTTCTGTCTACATTCACAGTTTAGAAGAATATTAGTTGACAATACCTGTATATGTCACCAAGAACATGATAAGCAGAGACTACAAATTCTCGAAGCTATATTTATTAAAATAAATTAGAGCCAACACTTCACAAAATTAATTATGAATATAGTACAAATTTTCTGAAATGCTGATAATATATGGTTCTTAAAAATATCTATGTTAAATCTATACAGTTTTTTTTTAAACAACCAAACTATAATCTCCTAACAAGAATTCAATTTTTAACTAAGTTACCGCCCTTACGCTAAAATTTTTACAACATGGAAGAAATCATCGTTTGTGACTTTGCGCATGACCGGTTAAACCAGAAAAGCTAAATTTTTCTTCGGATAAATACAATTATTTGTTTTTACCATCAAACCCTGAAGATGATATTGGAATATATCGAAAGTACCCGGAAAAAATGAACAAATACAACCATGGTACCCTCTTGCTGTCTTTAATCATGAAACAACAAAGCTTATACGTGATTACGAAAGGATATTATTAAAATAAACAAACATATCATGTCTAAATTGTTTAATCAGATATGTTCAATTGAATATATATATACATACATATATATATATATATATATATATATATATATATATATATATATATATATATATATATATATATATATATATATATATATATATATATATATGCATGTATATATATATATATGCATACATATACATATATGCATGTATATATACATGTATATATATATATATATATATATATATATATATATATATATATATATATATATATATATATATATAAAAGTGAACATTGAAGTCAACACTCAGGGCGACAGGTTGTTTCATGCTAGACGCAATTATCGCCTCTGAATGTTGAAAAATGTTCACTTATATTTACATTCGATCTATCAATGATATTAGTACTCTATTCCATAAGTATGGCATAGCATAAAACTAAACTTCTTCATATATATATATATATATATATATATATATATATATAAATGAACATTGAATAAACACTCAGAAGCGACATGCTAGATGCAATCATTGCCTCTGTTGATTTCAATGTCCACTTTTATATTTACATACGCTCTATCCCTGATATTGAGCACTTTAACCCATAAATATAGCGCACCATAGAACTATATTTCTTCATGCATATATATATATATATATATATATATATATATATATATATATATATATATATGTGTGTGTGTGTGTGTGTGTGTGTGTGTATGTATGTAGCTGACTATTCCTATTCGAGGATACCCATCTACTGGAGCGACTAGTGAATCCTTATTGCAGACGCTTGCTCAGACTCATTTGTGTTTATTCGACACCCACAAAACACACCTGTGTTTTTATTATATACCATGCCTATGAACACTAATGGGTATGTTCACATCCTCGTAAATACCTTGAACACTATTGTAAGTGGGTGTACTATGCTGTCTAAGTAGTCCACCACAAGCAGTGGTTTACCTACTTCACGCCGCTGGCGAGTATTGTATTTTGTTGATGTTTACTATTTCATATCCAACCTCCGTTTTGGTTATTCCTAATTCAGTATTATTTTCTAGGTTACAACAGGTTCATACTGAAACTATGCTGAGCAGACCTTAGTTACAGTTTCTGGGAAAGAGCGTGTTATCTAGCGTGATCAACAATTTGAACAAGACCAGCACGCTCAAACTCTCGACTACGATGACTTGTCTGTCTCTTCATGCTAGCACAGCTATCGACACCCTCCCAACATATATATATATATATGTGTGTGTGTGTGTGTGTTTGTGTGAGTGTGTACACACACACACACACACACATATATATATATATATATATATATATATATATATATATATATATATTTAAGAAATGGACAAGGTCCGACAATTTATTTATTAAAGACATTTTTATGTTTAACGTTGTTATTTATAGATACAAGTATTTAAGCAAATGCTCTGTTTATGATAAACAGTATTAAATAACATTTACCGAATGTCCGAAATTTTCATAAAACGAATATTTTCTATGAAAATTTCTCGGACATTCAGGCCGGTAAATGTTATTTAATACTGTTTATCATAAACAGAGCATTTGCTTTAATACTTATATATATATATATATATATATATATATATATATATATATATATATATATATATATATATATATATATAGTCTCTAATGTTCTCCTATCAAATGAGAAAAAAATAAACAGCTACAAAGATTAAGTGTACAATACAAGCATAAGAATAAGTATTTGCGTTTTTTTTATCAGCCTCGACCTTCACCCCCTTATCACATTAATTTCTTCTGGCTTCAATGTAGTATCTCTTTCGCCCTCTGGACTTAACGCAATCAAATCTATTCTCAAGGGAATCAAATCTCGCCTGATTTCTACATGTTCTTTTGTTTTGTTTTTCAAGATAATCTAACAAAGTACAAAGGAATGTTAAAATTGTTCCCCTGACAGCTTGAAATCGGCCATACTGGGCGTGTTGATTATTCGAGTGAAACACACCCCCACCGAGGAACAAATTTCGTAATTCTCTTTAATTAGTTTTTATTCATATTCACCAGTCACGAAGTGCGTTCACTCGGTAAAAAACATCCCTCATTTCATGTATATTAAATATTTTTACAAATATTTTTTTTTTAATATTAGCTTCCATGAGTGGTGGCAATTCGACTTGGGGATAATGTTCAGATAGCTGCTCTGGTTGACTGTTAAACCTGTGACCAGAGCCGGTGCAAAGAGACTCGCTCTACCTTCGAATCTATGATACGGAGCTCCCCTCCCACTCACCTACATCTCAATTTTCATAAGGTAGTAGACATATAAAATGCAAATTTTAATGCAACTTAATTATGTACCATGGATCATATGCAATATATGTGAATAAT